GACGTGAGACGTGATGCCCCTTTAATCCTAAATACAGTCGTCTCTTGGTGTCCCTAGGGGATTCGTTCCAAAATCCCCCTGCAGATGCCCAAGTCCCTTAGAAAAAATGGTGTAATATTTGCCTGTAACCTACACCCATCCTCCCGATTACTTTACAATTAGTTTAAATCATCTCTAGATTGTAATACCTAATACGATTTAAATGCTATGTAGTTATTATATTATACTGTATTGTTTAGGGAATAATAACAAGAAAAGAAATCTGTATGCATTCAGTACAGATGCAACCATCCATTTTTTCCCTGAATGTTTCGATCTGTGGTAGGTTGAACTCACCGGTGCAGATCCCGCCTGCGGGGGCCGCTGTGCTTCAGTGCGCACTTCCTGAAAACAAGGGCGTTCTCCTACATAGCCACCTCATGATCATTAAAATCAGGAAATTAACGTATTAGTATACATTGAACTCTTTAAGCTACAGACTTTTCCAGATTTCCAAGTTGTTCTAATAATGCCCTTAGTAACAAAAGACAATCCCAGATCACGTGTTGCATTCAATTGTATTGTCCTTAGTCTCTTTTGCTCTGAAGTGGTTTCACAGCCTTTATCTTTATTTCACCAAGATTTTTGAAGAGGTCCCTTATTTTGTAGACCGTCTCTAATTTTCGGGTTGTCTGACGTCTCCTCATGACTGGCTTTGGAGTTGTGATTTATGGCAGGAATATGTTGTGTTTTTAAGATGGTGAATAATGACACCGGAAGGAACTGAAGGAGAGGAAGAGAGAGGAGAGTTGTGGACGGTGTTTGTGAGGGCTGGGAGGGTGGGAGGATGGGAGCCCAGGCTGAGGGTTGGTCTGAGATGGTGACAGCAGGTCATGGGTAAGCCAGGCTATCACCCGGACGCAGGTACAGGCAGGCCAGGTGTGGGAGTGAGGAGCTTCGCTCTGATTGCTGCTACTTCTCAGAGAAATAGGAAGCAAATGTGCAGATTAGTGTGAGGATGGAGGACGAGGAGTTTGGGGATCTGAAGAGAGAAGAGGTTTAGAAGAGCTGGCTAGGAGAATGGGGAAGAACATGGACCGGGGTACTATATTACAGGTATAAGACAACACTAAGCCACGCGCTCAAGGAATGTGGTCATGAACTTAACGTGCGAAGAGTCAGCATCACTGTGCATTTTTCTGCAGCCGCGTTCAGATATTTGGATGAGGGTGTGAAGTAGGCAGAGAGTCGAATTCGACGGGGGATGGATTTTTTTCTATTGGTAATGGAAAGGTCAAGGTTTTGATCATGGAAATGCGTGATTTAAGCAAGTAGAAGAAAATATCACTGGACGGTGGGGGAGAAGGGGTCAAATAACAGAAGGGATTCAAGGAACACTAGGAGATATTGAAGTCACGAGGATTATGGCAGGAGTCATGTTGCACAGGCTGGCAGTGTGTTAGAAGCCAGAATCCTCCAGAAATGGCAAGAAGTGATTCTGGGAGTGTCCCAGACTGAGTCCTGGACCTCTCTTCATTGCTGCTGAGGGTGGTGAGAGGCAGAGGGAGCGTGTCTTGCGTGCAGTAGCGGGAGCTCTGGATTGACGCAGTCTCACCTGAGGGGTAAATGGTAAGACGCTGCACTCAGCTTTCCTTAAGGATGGGAACTGGGTGGAGAGCAGAGAGCCCGCAAGGGCGCAGCTCAGAGCTCACCAGGGGGCTCCCAGTGAGATGTGGAATGTCTGGGTGTTTTCCACCCAGAGGAAGCATCACGCCTCAGTCAGGAACTGGAGACCCAGGTTGCTTTGTGTTCCCACTCCACAATTCTTAGCACAGAGTAGGAAAGGCTCAAGTGTTGAGAAAAATCTGAAGGCTCCTGCCACGTGCCGGTTGCAAATGGGCGCCCGTAGACCAAGCTGCCAGTGCTCAGTGACATGTTGAGTTTTCCCTCCTTTTCCTCACATAACCCTTCTCTGTATTCTTTTTAGAACTGCCATGGTGTAAACCTTTCCTGCTTTGCTTACACAGCTGGTTTTATAAAGCAACTGCATCCCGGCTTCGATAAAAATGAATTGTGTTATCATTTTCCCCATCCCTTTGCCTGGGGAGAAGGCTCTGTCTTCTACCCATTAGGATGAATATCTTCACTTCTTTCCCTTGGGTCTCATTTTTTTCCCCCAATACTTGGGGAAAATTAGAAATCTGGTATGCAATTCTTGTTCCATGCCTGCTTTATTAAAATATTCATTTAGTCTTAATTTTCCATTTACTTCCATCCAGACTAAGATTCTGTGAATTGAACCATCAAAAGCAGCTCTTTGGAAATGTGGCAGGAGCAGGGGTAGGGGAGAAGGGATGCGTTTCTGTGGGGGAAGTGCAGCATTCAGTTATTGCACTGCGTGTCAGTCATGACCGAGCTCAGCTGCAACAACAGAAAAAACCAGAACAACAGGAGGCATTCCGATCTTGTTTGTATTTCAATTATTCTCTTTTCCCTTATCATTTGCTTGCAAAGAATAGATCATTACATTCTTGTCCGGGATCTATCCCAAAGACCTTGTAGTTTCAAAAATCTTAGAAATTGGTACATCTTGTTATAAAAGCAGGCCTTCTTTTTCTCCTCTTCCCTGTCCATACTTTCAAAACATTAAACAAAACAAAACAAAACGAAACAAAACAAAACAAAAAACACACAAGCTGACAGAATAATTCTAAAACTGTGTCTGTTCAACATAGGGACATAGTAAGCACGATTTTCTACCAGGAGAACGTCTACATTCTTGAATCTTTGTGACGTCCTTTCATTATCTTATTTAATTTATTAATACAACTACAGAGGGAAACTTTTGGGCTTTTTCCCTGTCAGATGGATCTCAATAAGACCGAGGAGGTAATATTAAAATTGGAAAGGCTCCACCAGCAGCCTCACGTCTGGGATTTTCTGCTTTTACTGCCGAGACTACACGCAGACGACGTCCACGCGGAGGACGGCGTGCGTGCTACGGTGCACTTGCTCCAGACGGTTTCGAAGTAAGTGGAAAAGGGAAATATAACTAAGTGTAGGTGCGTTAGTTTTTCTTCCTCATTTTCTACATGGGAAGTAAAAATTACTGAGTAATTGTCTGATTGGGAAAAAAAACAAAACAAAACACCCATAATACAACAAGAGCTCCTGCACCTCCACGTCTGTCCCTTGTCTGTCTGTGTACGTATTTTACCGAGGGGCAGTGGTGTTGTTCAGAGTATATCCTCCCTGCTTTAAAAATTTAACATTACATTATTAATATTTCATATGTTATAGTCTACAAATAATAATTTTTAATGGCTGCAGAATATTCCCTTTTGGTAAAGTACCATATACCATAATTTACTTAATAATTTTAGCACTGGACTTTTGGTTGTTTCTAAGCTTTTCGCTATTAGAGATGCAATGTGAACATAACAATTTTAACTAATTTCTTAATATATCATGCCATAGTTGCCCCAAATAGCACCTGAGACTAATCAGCTCTGATGTTTCAGTTGTATAATTCAGGGAGTTGGACATTGGTTTGGTTTGATGGATCTGGCCCCCATGTTACTTGGGGGTTACCTTTGGGAAGACCATTTCCCATGGTGAATTTCCCGTTCTTTAATCAGCATGGTCTTCTTTTTTTAAAATTTTGAATTATTTTGTGTAAATTCATTGTAGGAATATGGTATTTTATTAGTAAAAGTTTGTATTCTTTTCATATTTTTAATTGTTTGTTATTTTAGTTGCCATTGGTGAGAACAACCTGCACTGTCATCAGGCCAGGATGAGAGGGGCCCTGTCGTGGGCCCTGTACTTCGGAGGTCCCTGTCCTGGCCTTCCCCAGGCTGTGCCTCTGCTCATGGCTCAGGAAGCCCATGGGGTGAAGGGGATGTATCTGCAGAGTACATGCCCCCCGACTCCCTCTCACCCTGGAATTTCCTACTGCAATGTCCGAAGCCCACTCCCAGAGCCTGTGCTGGCCTCTTCCCTGGTCCGTCCCTCTGAGAGGGGGTTACACTGCAACGTGCATCCCTCAGCTCAGAGCTGTACAGGGACAGCTGCGGCCACTGGCAGGAGTGTGCATGGTGCCTGGCCGTGTAGCTGAGGTGCCCACACATGAGCACTGAGGCCCCTTGAGCTACAGACAGAGCTAAGGGTGGGAAGCAAGTAGGGGAGGGGTGCACTGAGGGTTGGGGCCAGGGCTGTGTGCTTCCCGAACCCCCACACTCTGGAGCACAGCTCTGAGGATCAGAAAATTCTAAATTTGAATGTGGCTTTCCAAGTTGTTATGAAGATGTATTTGTCAATGTAGGAAAATGGAACATATTTTGATAGTTTGTTAGCTTGATTTATAACATAAATATTTGAACATATTTTCTGTGTCTCCCTTTGTATTCTTGCTCTAAGCCCTGAATGTGTTAGCAGTGGAAAGTGGGAACAATCAGGTAATCTTGAGACAGGAAAATCTGAAATTAGAAGATATTGATGACAGTTGTTGGACCATATCAGCTTCAGTAGAAATTTTATTTCTATTTTTTTGCTTTGGTGACACAGTATCAAGATAATCTACATTCACAGAGATAAGTATTTGCAGTTGGCACCAGTTTTCAATACTATATCTTGTAATCTTAGGATAGTCTTCAATACATAAAGATGCCATGAGAGATTTTCCTTGATGAAAAGCTATAGGAAAATAACCTGTCTGGAAGCAAAACTTATGGTTGTGTTGTCTTATTTTGCCAAACTGTAGGTATATTCCAACTTCAGTTCATTGTATTTTGTAATCCACAAGTTAAAGTATATTTATTTATAAAATAAAAATTGATATTTAAAAAATAAACTTAATACCATATACATGTGGACTCCCCCTCCCCAAAGCCTCTTATTCTGTGACACAGTTTGAAAACCACTGATTGAACCCTGGACGTATTCGGATCCATGGGTTAAGGCAGAGTGGACAATCGGTGTACATGGCATTGCAATTGGCTGCCCTCCAAATATTAGACTGATTATCTGAACTTGAAGCAGCCAGGCTGACTGTTCATTTGCTTTTCTAAGATAACAGCACTTTGTTTGCTGGCTGGCCTTGTCACCTGCCCTTGCAGGGCAGGAAGAAGCAAGACTGAGCGTAAGATGAAATCTATGACAGAGATAACCAAAACTCATTTTCTGCAGTGAAGGCAGAGGGGAAGATGGCCAAAGTTCCTAGGTGTTTCTAGAGAGAGGGGCATACCTCCTACACTTAGTCCCTAGGCCAGGGAGTTAGGGTGAGATTAAAGCCATGAAGAATGTTGTCTTGGAGGTGGTCCAGCCATATCTTGCAACAGGTCAGCCCATGGGCTATAAGTAAATCTGGAATTGATGCTACCTCTTTTGCTAACTACCAACTCATATTGCTTTTGTTTTGTTTTGGTTCTAGTTTCTTAACATCCCTAGAAGATTTAGATTGGCTGCAACTCAATCAAACTTTCTCTCATGTTTCTGAAATGGCACTGAATGTGACCATTTCTACACTGATATTTCTGGAGCAACATGGAGTAGCAGTGACTGGTATGGGTAATTTAGAGCTATTGCTGTATTTCAAAATGTTTCACTATTAATTATTGACAATAAAAATGGAGCTAAAATGATGTTCAAGGAAATGATTTAATTAAAATTTCAAACATAAAAAGAATCCATTTTCTTGTTGCTGTTAATAAAAGATAGTACTAGAATGAAAATTTGATACTCAAAACTGAATTAGACTTCCTACTACTATTGAAATTTTGCTGCCATTGCTGATAAAAATGATATTTCTGATTAAAACATAACTGAATTTAAAATTCTTTGACTTGATGTCTTCTTAGATTAGATTTACCACTGGTTCTGTGATTTTAATCTTTCTTTGTCTAAGCTCCTATTGGGAGGAAATATTTGAAAAACAGTAAGACTAGTAAGCAGACGTAGGTTGATGTGGACTTGAAGAGCCCCCTAACTGAGTAAGCAGCCCCTCCACAGGGGAGGGAATGAGATTATCTACTTCTTTTCGTAACCCAGGATATTATTTCTTGAATTGTCAACTGGGCCTGAATATTTAACTTTTAATTCCCTCCTTTTCTCTCTCTCTTTTTTTTTCTGTCTGTCTCTTTCTTTAAGGAAAATACAGTGAGAAAACAGCAAAATTAGAATTCATCCACTCACCCATCCATCTGTCCATCTGTCTGTCCTTCTGTCCACCCATCCACCCACCCATCCATTCATTCATCCATCCATCCAACTACCTACCCATTCACCTACTGACCTACCCGACCACCCATCCCTTCATCCATCTATTCATTTATTCATCTCTCATTTAGTAAACACTTACTGAGCACTCCCTGTGAGCCAAACACTGCCCCAGACAGTGGGAATAAAAAGCTGAATAAGACATAGTTCTTGCTTTCAAGGAAGTCATATTTATTAAAGGAGAGAAATGTGTCAATGAAGAAAAAACAAAGAGGTATGGAGTAGGGATCTGGCATCTTCTTCGGCAAAAGCCTCAAGGAAGAGTTTTGAAGGATGAATTAGAGCTCATGAAAGACATGAGGGAGCATTTGCAGGAAGAGAGAACAGTGTGGGAAGCACCTGGCTTGCTGAGAGCCCTGAGGGTCTGATATTCAGTGTGTCTGAGGTGCATCAGGCAATGGCAGGAGATGGCACAGACAGGGAGCCCAGGTCAGATTGCAAATGGCCTTTGGAGCGGTAGAATTACCTCCACATTACAGAAGGATACTCGTGGGCAGGTGTGAGGGGTGTCCTGGAGGCAGGCAAGTCTGGGGGTGAGGATCAAGTTTTCCATTGGCTGCTGACTCTTGAGGTCTCAGCTCTCTGAGCTCTGTAATGTTAGTAAGATGGTTATACACAGAGATTTCTGCAGGCACACGGAGATTTATCCTGCTGCGTGGAGAAACCCTACGTGATCCCTCCATCATCCCAAATTCCACCTGTTGTTTGTTTCTTCCTGTTGCTGTGACTCAGCACGGGCAGATCCCCACAGAGAGGAAGAGTTTCTTTGAGTGCTCTGTACAGAAAAGCTCGGCTATTAATGTTTAACTCAATTTTCACATTGGGTTAGTTCCAGCAGGAACTACCACTTCTTACACTGAGAACAAAACCTAGAGGTGGGGTGAGAGATAAGTAAAATGCCTCGCTGAAATCTTCCCAGTGACCTTTAACAAACTCATTTAGAAGCTCAAGTTTTTGTACATCATCTGAATTACAATGACCAATTTACCTTATAATTAGAAATGTAATTACTGCTAAGAATATAATCAAAATGAACAATTTTCTATCAACTTGCCAGTGAGTCAGAGCTAAGGAACACTATTACAAAACATGCTTTTAGAGGCAACTAAAAATTGTCTTTATTTTCACAAATTCTTTTGCTTGATGAGCAGATTACAATGTGTGAAGGGGAGGGATACTCTGTCGTTTAGCAATGAATTTCAGAAACAGGTGGTCTTTCACTTTTTTAGAATGATTTTGTATTTTTATACCTATTCGTAGACTGAAAGTACTATCTATTTTTTTTTTTCTCTCCTTTCTGGAACTTCATAGATAATTCTGATACATTCTGAGAGCAGTAGAGATTAATAGTTATGGTTCAGGTTTGGGAACCAGACCACCTTGGTTTGAATAGTGACTTATTCTAGACATGTGACTTTGAGTGACTCTAAATCCCTCCTCTCTAAAAAGGGGATAATTATAGCACCTATCTCATAGTGTTGTTGGAGGACTGAGACCTCCCACGGGAAATTCCTAGCCTAGGGCGTGGTATCTCTTCAACATACAAGTGCTAGTTTTGATCTCAGAAACCTGTCTTTTGTCCCTTGATGCCATGTAGAGACAGTCAGACCAGAAGCCAGGTGCCTTGGTTTCCTGGGATCTTCCCCATTTTCAATACCTTCCAGAAGTTCCCTTTGACCTGTGACTCTTTTTTGGTGAATGTCATGGACTGTGCCTGTTCTGCAGACCTCACAGCATTAATAAGGACCGTATGAGATCATTCATGTGAAATGGTTGTACAGTGTCTGGCAAGTGTAGGGACTCGTTAAGTGTTGAATGAGTGTTGAATCATGATCTGAAACAATCTGGTTGCTGGGTTTTCAGATGAAGGTTCACCTCAGAATTTATGTGTTTTTATGTTTG